TTCACAGGCGAGCACTCGAGGACAGACGTGAAATAAAAGGCCTTTCAGAGAGCTGAATAACAGCACAATTAGAGGTACAACAGAAAAGCGGCTGTACTTATGAGCGTTTGGAGCCTTTCAGTGATAATCGAGACGGTGTGTAGTATTCTTTTCTTTTCAGAAATAAAAGTCTATTTTGCCATTTTGCTGACAGATTTTTCCATTATTTCTTTAACCCCTGTGAGCATTTCAAAGTCGGAGCTGTAGGTGAGTGGAATTACAATGGCCGTCATCACCGCGAGGGCAATTATGGCTACGAGAGTCAGCGGAGAGAGAGAAATGTGCCGCAGACACACACACAGCGTTGACCTACCGGCTCCGGTGGTGGTGACCAGCTTGGGTTTGCTGCGCGCCCCATCGCCTTTAGTCGTGTACGCCGCAACCGTGACCGAATACGTGGTCTCAGCATGCAAGTCTGACAGAACCAGCTCCTGGAGAAAATAAAGGTAAAGAGTGGAGAATAGTCAAGTCATGACATTCGAGAAGCCACACAGACTGAGCTGACGACTCGGAATAACACAGCAGGATGAACATGACAAAATGGATGTGTAAAGACAACAGCTGGGTTTTATTCCATACAACTGAAGATAAGAAATAATATTGTTCTTCAAATATCTCCAAGTTGTATTTTTTCAACACATTACATTTAATAACTAATTTCTACTGATGTATTTGTCTTTTGTCATGATGACGGTACATGATATTTTGCAAGACACTAGTATTCAGCATATGATGCTATTCAAAGGCTTAACTACACTCACCGGCCACTTTATTAGGTACACCTTCACTAGTACCGGGTTGGACCACCTTTTGCCTTCAGAACTGCCTTAATCTTCGGTGTCAGAGATTCAACAAGCTACTGGAAATATTCCTCAGAGATTTTGCTCCATATTGTCATGATAGCATCACACAGTTGCTGCAGATTTGTCGGCTGCACATCCATGATGCCAATCTCCCGTTCCACCACATCCCAAAGCTGCTCTATTGGATTGAGCTCTGGTGACTGTGGAGGCCATTTGAGTACAGTGAACTCATCGTCATGTTCAAGAAAGCAGTCTGAGATGATTGAGCTTTATGACATGCTGCGTTATCCTGCTGCCATCAGAAGATGGAGACACTGTGCTCATAAAGGGATCAGTTCATCATCAGATCATCTATCAGCTGGAACCAGTCTGGCCATTCTCCTCTGACCTCTGGCCTCATCAACAAGGCATTTGCGCCCGCAGAACTGCCGCTCACTGGATATTTCCTCTTTGTCGGAGCATTCTCTGTAAACCCTAGAGATGGTTGTGCGTGAAAATCCCAGTAGATCAGCAGTTTCTGAAATACTCAGAGCAGCCCGTCTGGCAGCAACAACCATGCCACGTTCAAAGTCTCCTATATCCCCTTTCTTCCCCATTCTGATGCTCGCTTTGACCTGCAGCAGATCCTCTTGACCATGTCTACATGCCGAAATGCAGTGAGCTGCTGCCATGTGATTGGCTGATTAGAAATCTGCGCTAACAAGCAGTTAGACAGGTGTACCTAATAAAGTGGCCGCTGACTGCAGCTTAATTAGGTTAACTGGATAAGTTAGGTTAATAAGTCAAGTCTTTGGTGGTTTCTTATGTAGCCAATCAGGAAAAAAAATTTAATATTGATTTTAGCAGCATGTACATTTTTGTAAATTATATATATTTTTTTCCATGCCAAGCTAAAATTCAGACTTTCTCCAGCAGAAAAAAATATGATAGCAAATACTGTCAAAAAGATGTATTTCTCTTTTAAACAGAACTTGGAGGATTTCACAAAAGGGCGCATACTTTTGTTGTAAACTGCATGCTAAACTCGAGTAAATCCAGTTATAATGGACATTATGCACTTTAGAGGATAATTTTTAAAGCCCTAATGTTGACAAATCTAACCTGATCTCAGAAATACACACTATTATTTTATATATATTGTTGAATTAGTGGCTAATTAATAAGCATTCAGTATCATTTGCATGCTTTCTTCATACTGTTCACAGGTCTGCATCACATTATTCTCCTCGTGGAGTTTGAGCAGATCATAGGAAATCATAAATGACATGAATTAATCACCAAAGTCAGCATGACTGCGCTGCATAAATCATGACTTCTCTGATAAAACATTCATATGACCAAACATTATTTTATATTTATATAAAACATTATTTATATTTTTTGAGTCATCTTCAGATGGTTATTAATATAAAATGACTATTAAATGTCTTTAAGCAGCCCGAAGAGGTCGTGTAGATTTACAAATGTGGAATATAGTCCAGTAAATGTGCAGAAAGTCATGCAAGTGCTTTCTGTGATGTACTCACATGTTCAGCTGAATCATCATATTCCCACTGACGGAGATCACACACACACACACACACACACACACACACACACACACACACACACACACACACACACACACACACACACACACACACACACACACAGAGAGAGAGAGAGAAGAGAAGAAGAGAAGCTCAGTAACGCTGCGGTGGTCAATGATTCATGATTCAAGAGTATTGTGACGATCAGGGCTGTGTTTCCCAAAAACATCGCAAGATATTACGAATTACCAACAAAACCGTCATATGATGATACACGCCATCGCATATCCCGATAACGTTATATATATATCACAACATAGCACCGTGAGTTACGTCACTGTTTGGGAAACGCAGCCCGGATCAGCTTCAGATGTGTGCTGTGAAATCCTTCAGGCTGAACTGGAGTCACATATACTCAAGCAGAGAGCAGATCTGTGCTGCGTCTGTAAGTCATGAGCGCTCATCATTATCCTCACATGCACAATTCATGACTAGGGAAAGCCTCCATGTCCAGGACAAAGACACATGTGAACAGAGGATTTATGAAACTGTGCACAGGAATACATTAAGAGTCTTCATCCAGAGCCTCAGTTGCATGTGTTTGCACAATGACTAGCCGTGTGCTGATACACACATCAGCAAAATACATTCATATTTCATTCATTTCTGGTTTAGATGTCCTTATCCATGAAGGTGTTTGTGTGGTTTGTTCCCAACATCAAATGTGCACCTCTTAATCAATCAGTCAGTACTATCTTGAACTGATAGCGGTGCAATACTCTGCAAATAACAGCACTGGTGCAGCCTCTTCACCCTTGTGTATTACTCCGCCCACATACAGCAACAAGCAGAGGACACTCTACAGCAGGGGTCAGCAGTCCTGGTCCTGGAGAGTCGGTGTCCCTGCAGGGTTTAGCTCCATCTTGCCTCAACACACCTGCCTGGATGTTTCAAGTATACCTAGTTAGACCTTGATTAGCTTGTTCAGGTGTGTTTGATTAGGGTTGGAGCTACAATCTGCAGGACACCAGCACTCCAGGAACAAGTTTGGTGATCCCTGCTCTACAGTTTGACAAATATTGCTGCTGTTGGACAACATCATGTACTTTTAGGCAAGAGTGTAGTTGTTTAGATAGCAACTCTGCAGTTTATTTATAAGGATTAGTGCCTATTTTAAATATTTATAATATCAGAGCATCGGATTCAGTGCATCGGCCGCCATCAGCCTGTCTGAGCAGACTGTCTTGACGTTCCGCCACAAGATGGCGACAAAGACCACATAATAAACACTTACGGGAAAAAAACATGATTTTCTCAGCGTAAGTTTCTAGACTACAGCTGAACAAATCAGCATAGATCAGGTAGGTGACACTCGCTCCTTTGTATTTTGTAGTGCTGTATTTATACAACAGAAAGCTTTGCTTTGGCTTGTTCAGGGTTAATTATTGTGAAACACTGGTAAATATCTGTAGACTGATGGCATTTCATGCTGTTCAGCCTAAAAATCTTAAAATGTGAGCAAAAATGACCTATTCTGTCATCACTTTAGACATTACGCTAGAGAATCATTCAAATACTAGCTTTACAGTGATGTTACTGAAGTAGACCGTCAGCTGCAGAAGTGTAGGAACAGTCGGAAGAAAGTAGTTCCTCAGAGTTTTTTAGACTCCTGTGTTCGATTGTCTTTTTTATGCACACGATTATGCTGTCAAACTGGGATATGGCTGTATATCAGCAATGGTGGGGCACTAAGGCACTCACACTACAGCCTCAAGCCAATGCACGCCTCCCACCAGTACCGATATACAGCCATATCGCACTGCTACGAGTGTGATATTGCTCATATATATACATACATATTCATATACATATACATATAAATAAACTCAAGCTCATTCTGAAAACGTAGCCCCGCGGACGTTTCTGTAAACTGCAATTTACGTGGCTGGAGGTGCGTATGGCCGCATTTAGTTTTTTCAAGCGAACGCTGCGGGGCGGTGTGAAGCTGCTCCTCTTCGTGTTCACGGCTGGGCTGACGGCTCACCTTCTCTGTGTGGAGGGCTTTCCAGCCACAATTAGTTTGTCCAGTTAGCTTCGTCTGTTACTTCGACAGAGCGGAGGCCCGGAGGAGGAGCCGGCTGGGTTGGACGACCGGATTCGAGCCCGGGGAAGAGCGGTTCCAGAAATCAGGTAAGACAAAAAACAGAATCCAAAAAATAAAGCAAACGAGTTCATAACGGGGCGAGAACGCGGTGAAATCTAAACATGCGGTCAAAATCAGACGAGGGCTTTCCGTTTTCTGTACGGCTTTCGTAACTCAGCGCTTGGGTTTAGGGAAGAAGGAAAAGGAGAAGGGGGGCCGGGTCGGCTGATTGGCCGGTGTGCCGCCCAGTCCATCATTCAGTCATTCAGCCAGTCGGTCAATTGGACAGACGGTCGCTCAACAGTGGCCTCCGGCGGCATTTTATACGAGAACCGCATGGGCTTGCGCTCGCAAGAGGCGTTCAAGACTCGAAAAAGCGCGCACAGCGCCTCTCCCGGATTCACGAAAAAGATTCACGGTCTCCAGAAACGTCCGCGGGGCTACGTTTCCAGAATGAGCCCGGGTTGATTTATATACAGGTTTTAGACTGTTGAGGAGAAACACCCTGGATTAGTTTCAAGAATTACCCTGAGGGTGAGTAAATAATGGGCTATTTTTCACCTTTTAATAAGCAGCAAAATTCATAGTTAATGCTTTGATAATAATGAGTCTAGAACCTTAAAATAAAGTGACCGTTCTCTTAATTTCCAATGCCCATTTAAAAATGCATTATGGGATTGTCAAATTAGCCTTTCTAGGTGAGCAGCTCGCTATGCTGTGCACATCTGTGCTCCCGAGGTCATGTTTTCTTGACACGAACCAAATCAAAGTAGTTGGCAGCTGTCTGGATGAACTGTGCCAGAGCCACAGAACTGGTCAAAGCTTGTACAGATTGACTTGAGGAGTGTGTTGGTGCTTACCTGAGCATCATCCATCAGGATATCCTTGATGACCGGGTGCCCGACGGGTTCTCCATTAACCATCCTGACATAGTGCACCTGGTAGCCGCGGATCTGTCCGTGCTGTCGGCTCGGCACCGGCGACCGCCACAGCACTTTAACAGACGTGGAGTTGACAGCCTCCACCTCGACTTTACGAGGAGGGCCACTGGGCACTGAGAGAATTATAGGATAAAAGACAAAAAGGGTCATGCTTAAAGAGGACACTTCAGGGTCCGAGCGGACATCTCCCCTGAGAAAGCGGCGAAGCAGACAAAAAGCTACAAAACGGGAATATAGCATTAACAAGTATTGGATAACACTAATATCTCAACAATGGGAAGTCAAAAACAAAAAGAGAAAAAACAAAAAACAAAAACAATCCCCAAAAACAGGTCACGCAGCGGACCTCATTTACAATCTCTGAAAAATGGATTTAGTGGAGTCAAAACATGGAATCAAAATAACAAGCAAAAATAAGCCAAGAGGAGTGTTTCAGCGGTGTGAAGCACTCGGAAGGACTTTGGCTATGATCGAGTGAAGACCAAAAGAAAAAACAAATGGAAAAAGTTTTTAGAAAAAGGTCATTAGTGGGGGACGTTTGAAGAAAAAAATAAAAAGCCCCATTTTCAGATTCACAGTGGATTTAGGTGTCTTTATGCCCGTGTAAAAATGAGTTTCACTCCATTAAAAAAGTCATTTCATTTATCTTAATAAGAAAACGAAGCGGGACAAAAACAGCAAGACATTTGGGATTGTTGGAACTTTAAGGTGGTCAGAAGAACGTCGCCAAGTAAAAAACGTTTTTCAGAAAATTTCTTCCCAAATTAGCGTTGGCTTGATGAAAGGTCACAAAAAATCCTGGTTAGTAGAGTTAGTATAGACACAGGGGGCGAGGGGTGCTAGGGTGCCTTGAGAAGTCTGGCAGAAGCGGGGTGTATTAGGGATAAAGACATTAGCATTGGGACACAGTGGCGTGTGGGTAAGACATACCATCCTCCTCCGTACGAATTAGCTGAGGTAAACTCTCAGGGCCTTCTCCTGCTTCTGTGTGGGCGTTCACGGTCACTCTGTATTCCGTCCATTTCTCCAGGTTCTCCAAGAGATAGTGGTACTTTTCCGGCGGTATGTCTGACACTTGTCGCATGGAGGTATCGTCTCCTTCGGTCGCAGCATATTGGATGGTGTATTTGGTCATGATTCCGTTCTGAAGCTCAACAGGGGGCGGTTTCCAACTTACCAGAATGCTGGTAGAACTGTGACTAGTGCACTTGACTTCCTGGGGCGGGGCTGAGGGCTCTGATTGGAGGATCAGTGGGTGGTGGGAGGAGCAGAATTGTCATTGAATTGGAATCGAGTGGTTGGTTGGATCCGGGTGAGGTTCACGGGGTAAGAGGATTTTTTTGTTTTTGTGGTGGAGATGGAGATGATGTTGATGGACAAACAAAAACACACACACAAAAAAAAAAGAAACATAAAATGACATCAAATGAGGATGAACCACAGGGACTACGGTTAACCAAACAAAATGATGACATGAACATAAACTTAAATGAAGCTTAGAAAACAAGAACAAAAAGGGCAGACATGTCACACACATCTTATAAAGGAGGTAGAAAAGATCAAACAAACTGATAAACTGTGCGGGGTGGGACTGGTGCAGACCCTACAGGTAAACAACCTACCTTCGTAACTCTACATAAGTCATTGTGTTTCTAAATAAATCCTACAATTCAGGGCTCGGGTTTCATTTTCTCTCATCATACTTCTCCGAGCACGTGAAATATCTACAGTAAGTGAGCTGTGTTTAAATCGGGCCCTGTTTCCTCCAAGCAGTTACCATCAATCCAAAATTTCAAAGGTTGATGTAAAGCTCAATAAAGGAAATGCATTGCTCACCAACCTTTCCGAGGCCTGTTGGTTTGAGGTAAAAGCCTGGTTGATCCAAGAGTTCATGACTGACGTTTCTAGACTCGGACATGCAAACACTCTCCCTCTCTCTGAGATACTTACCTGGCATGTTCTCAAAGGACCTCAGAGTTATTCAGATTGTATTTGAAGCATTAATTATGCATCAAATCGTGCACGATTAATGTAAGGGGGGTTGATCTACAGCTTTGGTTACAGCTCAACTTGAACAAATGGAGAATAAACCTGAAGTCCTTTGCGAATGCGGTTCTCTTTTTAGCTACATATCATTGCATTTGAGCTTACAACAAGGCTCCAGGTGAAAGAACCTTTCCAATTTCTGTAAATCTTTCAAATGCAAGTGTTGAACACTAGAGCTGGAGTCAAACAACGAGGCAGCCGGAAGCTGTACGACTGCAGCCAATGAATAATTCACTCTCATCTTGCAGCTGGCTAATATTTGACAGCAAACTCAACAAAGCGACCTTGTCATTTGACTACAGCATGACTTTCACTCAAACAAGATGTGCACTAACATCGCCTTCAACTCTCAACTGAAACACCTCCACCTCTCTCCGAAAATCTCCCAGTGTAAACCACTGCTCAAACTCCTCCAGAGCCACATTAGCAAGCGCTGCTGAGAAGTGGAGGATTTCAGCTTGAGCGAGTCCTGATACTGTCTTGCTCTTGCGCATGTCGAGGACAGACACAGTAAGGACAGAAGGAGACCTACGTGTCTGAGGCGTTTCGGCCGAGATCTCGTTGGTGTACGCGCCGATGCCGTGTTTGCTGCGAGCAGCCAGCTGAAACATGTAGGTAGTGAATGGCTTCAGCTCTTTGAGTAAATAGGTCGTGGTGGGCTCAAAGCTAACACGTTTCTAGAAAAAAACAAAACAAAATGAAAGTTAAAAACCAAAATACAGACTCAGTTCAGACAGCTCTTGAAGACTGACGGCGTTCATACCTCCTCTTTGTCATCTCCTTTCTTATAGAGAAGCTCATATCCGATGATCTGATTGTCCTGGCCTGTCTGAGTTGGGGGGTTCCACGATAGCAAAATGCTTGTCTCGGATTTGGCTTCACCCTTGAAATCGGTTGGTTGAGAGGGCACTACAAAACATCACAAGAGCATAAATGACAAACACTCCAAATGTTTTATTTTGAAAAATGCTCTGATTCCCCGAACCCACCTCCAGTTTTGGCTATGATCTGCAGATCTGATGAGAGCGGTCCGTCCCCTACAGAGGTGAAGGCCAGGACCTTGATGTAGTAAGTCTTATTGGGCGTCAGACCGGGAATGGTGAGAAAATTGGAGGTCCTTACAATCTGTTTCTCCCATTGGTTGACGTGCTGGCTGGGATCGGTGGTGTAGTAAACCCTGTAGCCTGTAATCTGGCCGTTGGCCTCCTCGGGTTCGTCCCAGTGTATGATAGCAGTAGTGGCACTTAGCATGCGCCCTCGGACTTGTCGTGGGGCGGTACTTGGCGCTTGCTCCGCAGTTTTGGCCTCAATGTCTTCGCTGGGAGGCCCGCGTCCAATGTTATTTACGGCGACTACTCTAAATTGGTAGTCAGAGTAAGGACTCAGCCCGCCCACGCTGTATCGAGTGGTAGCAACTCCATCAATCTCTTTAAAAGAGTCCTCAGAGTTTTTGGGCTTGTGCTGGATGATGTAGTACGAAACAGGTTCGGGATTTCCAGAATCCCATGTGAGCGTGATGCTTGTTGCCGTGCGTTCGGTTACCTGGGGAACACCTGGTGGCTTCGGTAAAGCTGGAGCAAAATAAAAAGGGAATTAGTGGATTTCAATTATGTGGAACAAGGAAAATCCACTGTGATTAAGTGCTAGTGATCACTGGAGACCGAATGGTGTGTTTCTATTTTATATTTACTAAAGGTAGTCAGTATTCACTGGGATGCAGGTCTTCGAAGGTCTTCAAGCCCTGAAGTGTGTATAGAAACATAACAATGTACAAATCAAATGTTCATTCACTCATTCATTCATTCATTTTCTTGTCGGCTTAGTCCCTTTATTAATCTGGGGTCACCACAGCGGAATGAACCGCCAACTTATTTAGGAAGTTTTTACGCAGCGGATGCCCTTCCAGCCGCAACCCATCTCTGGGAAACATCCACACACACATTCACACACACACTCATCCACTACGGACAATTTAGCCTACCCAATTCACCTGTACCGCATGTGTTTGGACTGTGGGGGAAACCCGGAGCACCTGGAGGAAACTCACACGAAGGCAGGGAGAACATGCAAACTCCACACAGAATTGCCAACTGAGCCGAGGATCGAACCAGCGACCTTCTTGCTGTGAGGCGACAGCACCACTGCCTCGCCCAAATCAAATGTATCCTTGCAAATCTTTCAGTGTCCGGATTGCAAAGGCTAATAAAGATGCAAGCTGTAGATAAATACTGCACACAGTTCCGTCGCTGTCAAAGTACATAAACAATTGGCTAAACTGCGGTCTTAGAGACTCAAACAGTTCTTCTACTAAATAATAGAATGCCTTTGATTAGTTTGTGCTCTTGTATTGGTTGGCTCTGCAGTGTCGTTCGGCTTTGTCATTAGCATTCACGGACCATGTGCTCTTCCCCTGGGATACAAGCCGAAGGTTAAAATGTCAGCTTGCCAAAACACAGTAGATGTGTGTTCCAGCACTGCTTGCTGCTAATGTAATACAGCAAAAGAGCTCACAGTCCTGACAGCTCCTCAGCGATAAGAAGAAAACCAAGTTGCCCCAGAGAAAAGCGAGACTCTGCGGTTTGTTTAGTACATGTCTTAAATATTCCACCGGCTGTAATTTATTGCTTTAATTCAGAGCGCATTAGGTGAGGTTGGCGATAGGACAGATAATGTTTAGTCTTTGCGTGCTGTCTCTTGGGGCATATTATGACTAATGTGATTTTGTTATGTCTGCTGGAGACAAAAGGCTTTGTGTGTGTGTGTGTGTGTGTGTGTGAGCAGCTGTGAGTGTGTCAGCCTGTTTGAGCGAACAAGTGTGCCAGCAGTAGGAGCTTGTGGTTTCATCTGCAAAATGTGATAAGACGGATCAAATAACAGAAGTGTGGTGCCGGATGGAATGCTAAGCATCGAGTCGTCTCTTAGATTCTCACCTTTGACCGTAATCTGTGCGACCGCCTCTATAACGCCCAGCGTTGACATGGCGACACACGTGTAATTGGCTGACTGCCGCACGTCAGTGAGTTCCAGCACGTTTCTCCCAATGGGCATGTCATCCTCAGGGGTCAAATCCTCTGACCCCAGCATCCATTTAACATAGGGCATGGGTGACCCGACGGCCACACAGGTGATGTTTACACTGCCACCAGGCATGATTTCATTATCCGTTGGGGGAATGGAGAACCGGGGCGGAACCCGTCTCACTGGAAGAGAACACAAGGACCAGTTACTTCCCACACAGACACAAGCAGATGGTACATTCGGGAGCATTTAACAGACAAATCAAACAAACACTTGGTGGATTACACCCTTTCTCAAATGAGCGAAATATAGCAGGATCCAAACTACTGCACATGTAGAAGACACAAACATTTCGCTTCGCTTCCTTTGGACTGGGACATGGAAACAGACGCCATGCACAGGTGACCCACGCGTTACAGACAGACGGCAGCACACGGGGGAACTGGAGGGCCACAGCATGCAGGAGTTGCGTGTGTTTGTACAACTTCGATGCTGCGTTCTCTTCCAGTTGATGTGAAGAAATGTGCCCAATCACATTGCCACATCACACACAGCGGCGAGCCCCATCACAGGACCGCCGGCAAACTAACAACAAGTAGAGACCAGCTGTGACTGCCTGCGGCTGCCATTCAAAAAGTGGACGCACGTGTCAGCGAAAACAACCTCGAATAAACAAATGGGTGGACGATGTGAGGGGTGAATCTGAAACCCAGTCAAAATGGAAATTAAACAAATGAATAGACGAACAAAAGATAAACCCTCGATGTAAATGGGGCATGGGGGGGGGGCATTCCTGAATCTGTCATGCAAACAAGCACACTGCTCATTCCACAGGGAAACTCTGGGGGATTGGAGAGAGATGAAGAACAAGGAAAGGAGACGAGGAAGAGAAGGGAGGAGTAGAGGAGTCAGTTAACAGGAAATCTACAGCGCTATTAAAAGCAGGAGTCTCTGAGACACAGGGAAAGAGACAGGGAGAGGGGGGAGATAGAGAGACAAGAGGGAGAGAAGACGTGGGAGAGAGAGAAGGGGTACTATTTGCCAGCTCCTCACACAAGGGTTTATGGGACAGCAGAAGGGTGGAAGAAGATTCAAGAGTCCAGAATTACTGAACCAATGTCAGTGTTACTGCTTACATACTGTCAGTCTCAGACAGCAGCGTCTGATGTGTAATGCACACACACTCTGGCAGCTTTACGCAGCTTCTGGGAGTCAGTGTTCAGCGCTTTCTATCAGTCCTGCTACAGTGAGTCCATCTGAGGACAACAAATCACTCGAGTTTGCGATGATCGGAACTGTCTTGCAAGATTCTCGTTTACTTTTGATTGAGACAGAGCATCCAGAATCTTGAGGTACACCGATAGGGTATGTTTCCACACTAGCTTTTTCTTTTTGTTGGTTCACCCTGCTAAAAAAAAGCTTAAACCAGCCTAGGCTTGTTGGCTGGTTTTAGCTGGCTGATTTTTGTTGGTTCACCCTGCTAAAAAAAAGCTTAAACCAGCCTAGGCTTGTTGGCTGGTTTTAGCTGGCTGACCAGCCTGGTTTTAGAGGGGTTTTGGCCACTTCCAGGCTGGAAATGGTTGGAAAACAGCCTGGACGTGGCCAAAACCCCTTTAAAACCAGCCTGGTCAACCAGCTAAAACCAGCCAGCGCTGGTTTAAGCTGTTTTTTTCAGTAGGGCAGATGAGGGGAAATGTCTGAAATGTGCTGCTGGAGTGCAACCAAGAACAGGGCCGGGAAACAATGAAGTAGATGACTATAGTAAAGATGAAGACTACATTCTGGGCCACTGATCTGCAGACTGAGACTCCAACCCTAATCAGAGACACAGGAGAAAGCTAATTAAGAGTAACGTAAGGCCTCGTCCACACAGCAAACCATCTCCAAACACCACTCCTCCTATAGCCATGTTGATAAGCAAAATTAAACTTTTTACAAATGAACGTGACTGTAACATGTGACTAGTCAGAATCTTGCAGCCAGGAACACAAAACGGCAGCTTACAGAGCTACATTCATCGCCAATATTACAATAAACCTTGATAATGCGGTATCGAGTAGACTAGGGGTGTCCTAACTCGGTTTTGGAGGGCCGGTGTCCTGCAAAGTTTAGTTTCAACCCCAATCAGACACACCTTGGCTAGCAAATCAAGCTCTTACTAGGCTTTCTAGAAACATCAGTGCAGGTGTGTTAAGGAAAGTTGAAGCTAAAATCTGCAGGACACCGGCCATCCAGGACTGAGTTTGGACACCCCTGGACTAGACGACCAGCAGAGATGCACTAACAGTTACACGGCTCAGAAATTTTAGATATACATGCATTAGGCATCATCTTGTGTTTGTATAAACTCCGAAGGACTTCATGCACATGCATGTGTGTGTCTTTACAGCGCCACCTATAGGTGTGGGATAAGTATCACACCATTTAAAGCAGCTTTACTGTTTTCATTTGGACGCAGATGTTTATGTGTGAGAATGCAAAACTTTTAGAATCTGCAAAAGACAAAAACACAGTCATTGCCGTGTGGACGCAGCCTAAACTACAGATAGGGGGATTTGATCTGCATCATGGTGAGGGTTCCCTGCTGAAAAGTCCTGCATTACTGCTTACCATAATGCATAGGTCTCAAACTGGATTCCTGGAGGGCCGCAGCTCTGCACAGTTTTGCTCCAACCCTATCGAACACAGCTGGTCCAAATAATCAAGGTGCTCAAATGAATCACGAACACCTTCATTAGCGCGATCAGCTGTGTTTAATCAGAGTTGGAGCAAAACTGTGCAGAGCGGCGGCCCTCCAGGAATTGAGTTTGAGACCTATGCCATAATGATTTCTGGCTACTTCTGGTTACCAGCAGATATATGTTTTACTTCAGAGACCAGCGTGAGTTGCAGCTCATCTCCAGCATGGGAAGTTGGAGTGGTGAGCTACGCCAACATGACTATACTGGTCCACAGTTAAACCAGGACTAGTGTAGTCTTAACAAGCCTGGACCATACTGGTTTATGCAGGATTTTCAGCAGGGTTAAATCCCAGTCTGCGTGCCAGATTTCTTCCGTTTAATAGGGCAGATACTGGTCTTTATATATCATAATAAAAGCATAATAGATTTACGATGAACCCAAACAAACACTTGATAAAGAGTTTCAGACTCCTCAAGAAGTGTGAGAGTTTCAGTGACGCGTGGCTCGCCTCTTGACTGGAGATGTTGCGGTTCTCTAGAGATGAAATCTCTAATTATTGCGAACAGATTTCCAATCCTATTGCAATTAATTTCCAATTGAAACGCTGTTCCAGGAGACATGATGTTTTCCCTTTCATCTGAATACCGTTCCGTTAGTCGAGTCTAGAGAACAACGCTCTACATGCATCAATTGTCCTTTATTAGCAGCTTGTTAGGTGGAAAGGAAAGAAAATATCTGATCTCACAGAGCTGCGGAGCATGTCCCATCACAGTCTGCACCGAGCAAGGTCAGCACACAGCTGAGTGTTACGAGGAGAGCGTGTGCGTGGTGCTGGTCAGAGTAGCGAAGCAGGACCACTGACATGAGGGTGAAGAACGGACAACTTGAGCATGACCAATCCACCATGCAGACCCCCCCCCTCCCCGACATACTGCACACATTCGGACTGACATGCACCACTTTTTGGTCAAGCAGTACAGCGGAGGGCAGGACGTTTGTTCAGACCACAACAAAAGGAAACTGTCCAAAACATAAGGAACCAAAAGCAGAATCGACTCATAGACACGCAAATGCAGCTACAATCATTGCTTTCGCACTCTCGGGAATCGTGACTAGTGTTTGTATCACAGGCTTTCAGTTTGAAGATGGTTAGAAAGAAAAAACACACCAACCTTCTCGCAGCTCTGAGGGATGTAGGGAATTGATGCGGAAACAAAATAAAATGAGGAGAAAAACAAGGGAAAATACAGAGAGAGTAAAACAGGCCACATTCAACCCAGAGAATTGCTGCTAGAGACAGAATGTCTAGGAAAAGAAAAGTGTGCTGCATTTTACAGGCCTTTTAATGCGCTGCCCATTAAAGAAAATGACACAGGTCCAGTTATGAGCTTTACGTGCCATCAGCGGTCCCTGCGGCTCGCGCTGACTTTGGTCTGGAGTTTTGTTCATATTTGACGTGTATATACATGCGTTTTAATGTAAACCACATGACTGGGCCTGTGCATCAATACGCCCGCTCTCCTAAGTACATCAGGCCTTCAAGTTTTATAGGATGGAGCATATTTTGGCAGCTGAAAGTATTACATTTTGTATTAAAGTCAACATGAAATCAAAAGTCTGATTAGTGGTCTTGTTTTGAACGTATTGTGTATTTATATAGCGCATTTATCGTGTATGGCCATGCACCCAAGTCTCTCCACACCACCACCAGTGTGCACACTTAGGTGGTGTGACGGCAGCTACAGAGCACCAGCGCTTCACCACACACCAGCATTTGGGGGAGTGGAGAGACAGTGATAGAGCCAGTTTGGTGGATGGGGATGATTGGGAGGCCATGATTGTAAGGGCCAATTGACGACCCCTACTCTTTTACGAGAAATGCCATGTGATTTTTAATGCCCACAGAGAGTCAGGACCTCGGTTTATCGGAAAAACGGCACCCACTAATGCTGCGTTCACACCAGACGCGGAACGCACGTCAAGTGCGAGTGATTTACATTTTAAGTCAATGCAAACGTGCAAATAGACATCCTGCGGTGCGATACGCATGAATGGCGCGGCGCGAATGACGAGTATTGCGCGGTGCGAATGGCACGAATGGCATGGTGCGAATTGAGCATTTGACATGCTTAATGTGCATTTTGCGCAAATCACTCGAGTTCAAAAATCTGAACTTTAGCGGACATTCTGGCCGCGTTAACCAATCAGGGTCTTGCTCTTGTGGGGGCGTGATTGTGACGTATCGCCTGTTGTCAGTGTCCCAGGGGAAATCCCCCAGCAGACACCCACAAGAAGTTCATCAAACTGGGCTGGGCTCAGTCAGAGGCACCGCTGAAAACCTCCATCAGCCAGGTTCAGTTTCTGGAGGAGTCTATGAGCTTAAAGAGCTGGATGCACCTCTGAAAGGATGTAGTGGACTCAGACACGGCTCTAAACGTATCGACGCTGTTTATCATCCTTCATAAAGCACATAAACACTGTTATTTTCTTCATAAAATCCATGTTAGCCCTTTAGCTATGAAGCTAGAGTCACGGGGCAGACAGAAGCCCTGCCCATCACGCCAATCCGCGTCTGTTCTGAAGTGAATTTGACGCGCGAATAAAGTGAGTAACCTTGTTCACGCAGCTATTTACAAGCGAATAGCGCAATTTATCCGCGCGTTCCGCGTCTGGTGTGAACACAGCTTAACAGTATCGTGTCCCCTTCACTTTAATTGGGGCATTAGGAACCACACAGACCACAGGTTGAGCGCCCCCTGCTGACCACACCACTTCCAACAACAGCCTAGTTTTCCCATGTGGCCTCCCATCAAGGTACTGACCGGGCTCAGCCCTGCTCAGCTTTGAGTAACTGCTCTCGGGCTGCAAGGTGATATGGCTGTGGTGCTTTTAACACTCTTGTTATGCAAAGCAGTTTTCTTTATAAAGCAGACTACTCAATAATGTCTTGTTATATATATATATATATAAAGGGGATACTGATGCAATTTCATGTTGACTTTATATACTTATAAACCTGAAGTGAAGAATGCACACAAAGACAAATCCTCCATCATATGTTAATATCAATAAACATCTCATATTCATACAGAGGAGTGATTCTTCAGTCACACGACCTTCTTCATTCAGTGACATTAAAAGTGGCTGACTCTAATCAAGCTTAAGAACTTAAAATGAATGACTTTTGATGCTTTATAAAAACACAAATACTGCATATGTGGCATAATGTCTCCTTTAATATGATCAGGTCATCTAAATGAAGAATCACACATACACCTTTTACATTATATTAGACTGAAGACTGTAGTGTAAACATTGAAATTCAATTAGAATAAATGAAAATATAGTTTGACGTCTGCAGTGAGAAATAAAGGTGCTAAATAGAGCGCTCAGACATTTGCTGCAGAGAGGTTAAAGTCATTCTATCATTGCTTAAGAGTCAGTAACATAACAAACACAGCAAGCATTAACGTCATTAAAATAGAGAATAAACTCAAAACAGGCAGAAAATCAGGGCTGTAGAAAACCAAAGCGATCCAAACAACAAAGCTGAGGCGCTCTCGGGTGTCATTCAGGTGTGTGTGCGTGCTCTTTTGTTGCTTTTCTTTACCGCCGTGGGCTTTTCCTACCTCTGACATACAGGTTGGCAGGAGCGGAATAACGTGTGCCGTCGTTGTTGGTCGCGACACATTCGTACTTCCCTTGGTCCGACTCCTCGCTTTGTTCGATTTGCAGCGCTCCTGCACAGTGGGAGAAAACACGCAGCAGAGAAGAAGGTAATTACAATAATAATAGAAGCCATTAAACAACCTTCACTCAGTCACACTCGCTAGGCCTATTTCTCAGTATGAATTGCATTATTTGTTCTGTTTGGGTCTCCGTAAGGGTGGACGCAACAGAACGGCTGGGCTATGCTGACGTTTAACCCTCTTCTCCGCAGAGCTTCCTATAGACTTTATGCAAGCTAAGCTCCTGGGAAGCTGGGGGTAGAAATGTTTCCCCCTTAAAATATCTAATGCAGCACTTCATTCTCTAGGCCCGATGCACGATGGGAAAGCAATTTCGGCACTAAAGATGGATTTCACGGTGCATTCGCGATGCATATTATGATTTTGTCAGGAACTGGGTAATTTGGAGGTGCTCGAATTGAAACTATCCGGGAAGCGGGCCTAGAGAAGAGCGAACGGCGAACGCTGCAGTAGACATTTGAGGAGGCACACACAAAGGAAAACAAACTTTGCAGCGTTAATTATCTCGGACATTTTACAACCACATCAATGGAGAGGAAAACATAGAGTACAAGATACATGTTGCAGGGTTTCTAAAGGCACTTAATCGTACGGGTGGTTTCAAAATCGTTACTGTTTAGAAAAAAACAGCCGTGGTAATAATCAATAATGATGATACTGATCGATTATCAATTGAAAGGTCTACAAAAGGTGAAGGGAGGTAGCCCTGCAATATTATTACACATCTCACAGGACTGTTCATCATGGGAATGAGTGGAAACTGCGATACGGCAGCATATGACTCAAATAAAAAAAGGTTTACAGTATACGAAAGCAGCATAAAGGGGAAGGACAGTTAAAAAAAAAGAGAAATTTGGTGTTGAATTCAATTCAAATCGATTAATAAAATGGCCAATCGACAAAAAAAGGGCAGCATTTCCAGGTCAAAAAACAAAAATCAAGTGCTGCTTGAATGGGAAAAAACTGAAGAAGAAAAAATCTGTTGGGAGAATTATCGTTACCAGTACATAAACCTCTAGCACATGCAAATCTTTCCAAAGAACAAGAAATGTGTGTCGGCACAACTTACAACCTTTTGACAACCCTTAGCTGAAAAACAAAATGCAAGTGTATTAGAAAAAGCGCCGACAAGAAAGCAACCAATCACTGCCATAGCTTACGCAAAGCTAAAATGACACCCATAAAAATCCACCAATGGGATCAGCAGTGTGGTGTCACATGACCCAGGGAAAAACGTTTCTTGGAGTGCACTAAACCGCGGCGGACGCCGGCTCCTGACACAAAAAAAAGCAAAAAAAATTTGACACAAAATGGCCACCTCAGAATGGTCTGCCAGACCCACTGTTAGCTTTTCCCCAGCCCTGAAGAATGGAACAAAAATAAAAACGTCAAAAAGGAAAACAGCCTTCAACCCAAGAAAAGCAAGAAGGAAAAATAGGTGGAAGAAGGAAAAAAAGCACCGCAGAAACTTTATCAAAAAAGTAGTTGTTTGGGCTTTTTTAGCTTGTTTTGAGAAGGGTACAGGTAGAGGAAAGCAAATGAAGGACGATTGAAGAGCGATTCAAAAAAAGACAGAAAGATGCTTTTTAATGGGGAAAAATCGTGGCAGAGAGGTCTCCGGCGTGTCTCCGGCATCTGGGCTCATGTGCAAGAACAGCTAAGGGGGGAAAAATGTTTGGCTGTTTTAGTTGGACAAAAAAAGGGACACATGATCTGCTATGGCCAAAAGATAAAAACCAAAACCAAAGAAAAAATCATAAGAATGAAATAGAAGAGGAGGGAGAGAAAAAAAAAAAACACGTAAAGGATATGCTTCTTTGGGCTGCAGTAAGCATATCGACTCTGAAGAGTGTGTGGGGGAAAAATACAAGAGGCTTTCTCGAACTGAAGGAAAACCAAACGAAAGGAAGAAGAAGAAGCGCTTACGCAAAAATGGCGGGAGATGGATGACGGGAACAGAACGGGATGGAGTTGGAGGGCGGGGGGGGGTGGATGGATGGATGCAGACACATGTGGGACAGGAAGAATGAAGTCAGTTGTTCATTCTGTGAACTTGAGTTGAGCACTCTTACCTCTTATTGGCGTACCACCTGGGTGGATTATATGAATGCAAATAAGATTAAGAAAGAAGAGTCGTTAGTACGAGAAGAGAGTCTGGCCGCTTTGGAAGAAGAATCAAATTAGATTTGCTTTGCTTTCTTACAGACTGAATTAGGCTACAACAGGAAAGAGAAACTGAGAAAAGACAGCCATTGGCTCTAGTGGAGAAAAGCACAGGATTGAGCACTCTAGAGAGGTCAGAGAGCAACAGTGGTGAAGCACAGGGGCCGACTGAGACCTGCAGTGGCCCTGATCTACTGGGGGGAGGATTGACTGGGGGGTTTGGTCTTGGAGTGAAACAGTGGACAGTCTTTGAGCTGTGGTTTCAGACACAGATGGAGTGATAGTGTCAGTGTCAGTGACGAATCGTGGCCCTGACCGTGTCTTGTGTGCTTTATTTACTGCTAGTCAACTAGTGTGTGTGTGTGTGTGTGTGTGTGTGTGTGTGTGTGTGTGTGCTCTACTGGCTCATTGACACCGTTAGTAAAATGCATGCCATGCATTTTAACAGTAGTTTGAGTAACATGGAACATTAGTGGGAGGCATGTGTGCTCAGATCTACAAACTTACCAAAGGACTCTGGAGATTTACAAAACAGAGAGAAGAAAGACAGCATAGAAAATATGATTATATTCCTTACGTTTGCTCTGGTTGACACACTTAAATCTGACACTCTATTGCACAGGCTTATCAAAACACGGCTTGGAAAATCAAGAGAGAAATCAGACAACGGAAGAAGAAGAAAACAGGACAAGGGCAGAGCCGAGAGCTCCGGGAAGACAGATCGTACCATCGAGTGCTGGAAAACTGCTCTCAGCGACTCAAGCGGCACGGTTGGGGTACAATGGCGAACTCAAACAGGGGATGTGGAAGCGTTACGCCGGAGACCGCAGGCGGAGGGAAGCAGCGTTTACTGCGGCTCCCGACTCAAGAATCACCAACATGTTCAGCCCTTTGGTCAATTGGATGCGCAAACACACAACGAGGGTCTCCCACACACACACACACACACACATTCACACTCACACACAGGTACGGACATCTCCTGGATTTTTGGGCGTTTGGTTTTGGAGGCTGCTTCTGCTGCTGCTGGTACGTGTGCGTCATGACATGAAAGCAACAAACAAAACAACCTTGATGATTCTTTTGAGAGCCCTGAATGAAGCCAGATCGTACTAATTGCGCTTTTTGAGGAAGAAAAAATAAGGACATGGAGAACGAGAGTTATTTATTATGCATGGTTCGGCTGCTTTTAGCGACTAAGTGTTAAAATGGAAAGAGAAAACAAAGCCCAATTTAAGCCGGCCAAAAATGCAGTCATAGCAGTGAATCATGGGTAATAAATTAAACAGACAGGAACACAAGACACGTCACACAGAAAAAAAGGGGACGCAGAAGACGAAGCCGTTTCCTACAGAATCAACCCCCACCCACCCCACCCCACACACACAAATCCAAAAACAAGCCTCCAATTGAAGGAACAAAAGGTAAAGGAAGCGTCTCTGGTCTGGCGATACGGAGCCAAGCGTTCAGAGGTGCGTTACCTGATCGGAGCTGCTTGATGCGGCCGTTGTTACTGGTGTTGACTGGGAGGAAGTCTTTGAACCAGGAGATGTCAGGATCAGGGTTCCCACTAGCAGCACAGAGCATGGTGGCGGTACGGGTGCGCTCCACCACCTTCAGCTGAGGGCCCATGTCTATGGTGGGGAAACCTGCGGGCAGCTGATCCTCTGAAACACAGCCACAGTGCCACTGTTACACTCACTTCATCAGGGAACATGAGCCTTGTCAAGTAAGGTTTAACCCACACTTAAAATTATTTCTATGTTTTTAACTCGTGCAAACACACACACACATTTTGAGTGAGACACACACACACTGTGAGCCGGTTCATGATGAAATGACCAATATAAACACTGTTCTGAAATACAAATAATAGTGGAGAGCCATGTGTAGAGTGTATAGTGTAGAGCAGGGGTGCCCAAACTCGGTCCTGGATGGCCGGTGTCCTGCAGAGTTCAGCTCCAACTCCAATTAGACACACTTGAACCAGCTAATCAAGCTCGTACTAGTCATACTAGAAACCTCCAGGCAGGTGTGTTGAAGCAATTTGGAGCTAACTCAGCAAAGCACCAGCCCTCCTGGACCAAGTTTGGGCATCCCTCGTCATGACCTTCAATTAAAATACTGCTGTAGTTTTTTTTTATTACAGTTTTATATACAGTCCTTGTGTATTGAAGATGGAAAAAGTGCAGTTCATCCTCTCCCCACACCTTCAATTCCTTCCCAGACAGGCAATCAAACTCTCAACATTTGGTTTCCAAGTTCAACTCATTGACCATTAGAAAACAACTGCCCTGAAACCACACAGAGAGACACACCTGCTCCTGGAGGACCTCTGTTCTGAAGTTTAGCTCCACTACAGACAACTTATAAAGATCTTTAAATTTGCAAGATCCAGATATGTACCTCAGAGACACTCTAGAAGCAGGACTGGATAAGTCAGGGGCGTCCGAACTCGGTCCTGGAGCGCCAGTGCCCTGCAGACTTTAGCTCCAACTTGCCTTAACACACCTGCACGGATGTTTCTAGAAAGGCTAGTAAGAGCTTGATTAGCTAGCCCAGGTGGGTCTGATTGGAATTGGAATTACACCTTTCAGGACACCGGCCCTCCAGGACTAAGTTTGGACATGCCTGGGATAAGTAGTCTCATTTAAACCTGAACATTCACAATGGTAAACCCAGATTGTCCTGTTATTGTTGGGACCGGGAATCAAAGCTGCAACCTTTGGGTTACAAGTCTAACTGACTGACCATTATACCACAACTGCCCTAAAGACACACAAAGAAGCAAACCTGCTCCTGGAGGACATCTGTCCTGAAGTCCAGTCCAAACGAAACACACCACAGAAAACTGATCCAGTTCTTCAAATCCACCAGGTGCTTAAAGACGCTCCAGAAGCAGATTGGCTGATCTAGATCAGGACTGCAAGGTTTAGCCCCAACCCCAATTAGACACAACTGAACCGACTGATCAAGCTCTATAAAGTATAGAGTATAATGTTGTAGAGTATAGCGCAAACTCAGTCCTGGATGGCCGGTGTCCTGCAGAGTTTGGCTCCAACTCCAATTAGACACACTTGAACCAGCTAATCAAGCTCGTACTACTCATACTAGAAACCTCCAGGCAGGTGTGTTGAAGCAAGTTGGAGCAAAACTCAATAACACCGGCCCTCCAGGACCAAGTTTGGGCACCCATGATCAAGATGTCTCTTTTTTTTTGCCAGAACAATTGAAATACTGTTGTCTTTAATGATTTTAAATGCCGTCCTTGTACAACCTGTTACAACATTTACAAATGAAACCTTCCTTGGTTCCTGGGTTGTCTATGAAACCCTGTCGAGTGACTTTTCTATGGGTAGGACTTTGAAAATATAAACAAGGTGAGGCTTCTGCTCCTGAGAGCTCCTCTTGTGTTCTCCCACACATTAAACATATGATTATAATGTCGAGGGAAATGAACAAAGAGCCATTCTGCACTGTCATATCAATGTGTGTTGCAGACAATTTATACAGTAGACCAGGGGTCACCAATCCTGGTCCTGGAGGGCCGGTGTCCCTGCAGGGTTTAGCTCCATCTTAGCTCAACACACTTGCCTGGATGTATCAAGTATACCTAGTAATACCTTGATTAGCCTGTTCAGGTGTGTTTGATTAGGGTTGGAGCTAAAATCTGCAGGACACCGGACCTCCAGGACCACTGTAGTAGACAAACTATACCAGCAATATCCAAACTTGGTCCTAGAGGGCTGGTGTCTTGCTGAGTTAGCTCCAACTAGCTTCAACACACCTGCCAGGAAGTTTCTAGGATATTTAGTAAGAGCTTGATTAGCTGGGTCAGGTGTGGTTAGTTTGATTAGGGTTGGAGCTAAACTCTCCAGGACACCGGCCCTCCAGGACCGAGTTTGGATACCCCTTAAACCACATGTGTCAAACTCAGTTCCTGGAGGGCCGCAGCTCTGCACAGTTTAGTTCCAACCCTAATTAAACACCTGATCAAACTAATTGAGTCCTTCAGGCTTGTTTGAAACCTACAGGTAAGTGTGTTGGAGCAGGGTTGGAACTAAACTGTGCAGGGCTTCGGCCCTCCAGGAATTGAGTTTGACACCCCTGCCTTAAACTACATATACACACATATAAACAAAGTTTCCTTTGAATTAATCAATTATTCTTACATTAACACTTGTATAAATAAATAATATTAAAGAATTACATAAAAAAAAGAATACAGTTATATGGTTGTTAAATGTGACGCATTTTAAACCGCATTATTTCTGCATTACCTATAATAAGTGATTTGATAATAATTGACCAAAGTTGGTAATCCCTCAACACCAACAATAAAATAAAACAATGCAAATGTATTAAATTGTCAAGTAGCTGATAAATGAGGCCTCGTTTAAATACTCAACACTCCGCCCAGACAATAATGATCTATTTCAGACCATAATACATTCACATTCATATAATACACACATATTCAGCCTGCGATGGCCAGCATGCATTTGTAAAGTGAAAAAGCGAAGGTTAAACACCTCCTGTGTGTGTGTTTGCTTGCATGTGTGTGTGTGTGAACCTACAGCAAACACAAGCAATCTAAAGCAAACAAGAGCTCAAGAAGCCTCCAGGGAACATTACCAACACACACACTCGCTCAAACACACTGATTACCACTGAACTGACCAAACATCCCTCGGGATTCGCTTTCTACGAGCTGCAAACACCTCCGATCAAGTACACAAAATCACACAGACGCGAAAATCCATCAGGCTCGGCTTTCCTCCAGACTTTAGGACAATTGGTGTCAGATTTGGTTAGAAATGCAATGATCTACTGCAGATTTACATCAGAGAGCGTCGCCGTTCAGCTCCCGCTCGCATGTTGACAGTTCTAGAGACGTTTTCTCTTGTTTCCAGAAAACAGTGAAGGATCTGAACGAGCGTGTGATAGACAACAGAATAATATCCCTGTCTAAATAGTGACTAAAGCGTGATTATGACACTCACAGGGAGGCTTGGGCTGTAATGGAGGATTTCCCGCAGCTCATAAAGAGCCTCAAACGCTCCTCATTGTCTGGGAAATCATTATAATGCTCTTTCAGAGAGCGCTGCGATTCAGCAAAGATTTGAAGATGTCCTTAATTTATGCCAAGCGAGTGCCAAGGTCTGCTATTCCAAATTCATACTTCTCAAGGTTTAATTCATAATTTACCAGCTCAGTAAATGGAAATGATCTCAGTACAAGAGGGCGCCGTAAAAAGTAATGTCACCATGAAAAGAGTTCATTCTCTTCAGGCGGAACCGCGATGGCTTTGTTGTTTTTGTGTGGGAAACACGACCTGGATGTGTTCTTGGCATCATCCGTCTGAAATAAACCACAGATGATCCGTCATGCCCAGAACCGGCCATTTAAAACATTTCCAGTAATCGTCCCTTGGGCATTAGCACAAATTTTCATATCTTTCTGCAAACATTCGACTCCAAATCCTCTGGTGACCTTCACAGGCTGCGAGCTACATAACGCGGCTAATTTTAGCTCTTCTGTGGCGTGTAGGCTTCGTCTGTGCGGAGCTACAGTTACGTGTCGGTCTGTTTTACTAAACGCGCAGGTATAAAATTACCACAAAAGCTACAGAAAGCTGCTGAGGGATCACTGGGAAGTCTAATCTACACTTGTGTGTGAGTCTAGCGCTGTGTCGCCGCAGCCGATAGACGCATTAATCTGCTGTGAGGAGTTTAGCAGAAGCAGAGTCTGCTTCAGAGCTGATATACTGCGAGCCCAGCTGAAGAAATAACTGAACAGAGTCAGGAGGGAGAGAGAAACTCACTTCTTTCTGGGAGTTTGAAACACGCTGCCAAAGTCAATACAATCCAGAAGAGTTCACTCTGTCTGCTGAACACCACCAAACTACTGTGGCTTTCAGCTTCATTCATGTGACTCGTTTCCATCAAATATTGCCAATTAAACATATGCACAAAACTGTAATATTGCATAGCATGTTTGCAAATCCATCCAATGAGAAACAACAGAGTACAAAATGATCACTTCCTGATAAGCTTGCACAAATATCAGACAGAGAAATGTAGTTTAGTGCGTTGAGAGAAGCCACTGTGGTCTTCTTCTATAATACAACCTCAAATTAGAAAAGGTTGTGACAGTATGGAAAACGCAAGTTAAAAAAAGCCTAAGTTGAAAAACCTTGATCTCCGATCCTCCAGGGGGCGCTGCATCAAGAATCCTCATTCATCTATAAGCCATATCACCACATGGGCTCAGGACTACTGCAGTAAACCCTAGTCAAGTACCGCAATACAGAGTTACATCCACAAACACCAGTGAAAACTGTACTTTGCCACAAGGATGCCCTATGTTAACAGTGTCTATAATCGACGTCGACTTCCCTGGGCTTGGAGGCATCTAGGATGGACCATCACACAGTGGAAATGTGTACTCTTCTCAAATGAATCAGTATTTCAGGTATTTTTTTTGGGAAAAAATGGATGCAGTGTGTTCTGGACTAAAAGGAAGCCCTATGTTAACAGTGTCCAAAAACGCCATCGACTTAACTGGGCTCGGAGGCATCTGGGATTGACCATCACACAGTGGAAACGTCTACTCTGGTCAGATGAATCAGTATTTATGGTATTTATTTAGGAGAAATGGAGGCAGT